ATATATTTAACTAATGCTATATATCACCACTATCAGCTCAATTACAAATTGAAAGCCTGCATGATTCCATCTTAATTATTCCTAAAACAATTTTTATTAAGAGTATTCTAGTTATCAGGCCATCGAATTCAGTATTCTGGATTTCAGTTTTTGATCCTTCAGGGTGGTCCGCAGATTTCTCCTCCCACCAAGGCCTCCCGATGGTCAAGTTTATGAAAGCTGGCATAACCATATGTATAAGGATAAGTCCTGAGAGGCATGCTATCGATTTGGGGATCTACTCTTCTTATTATCATTTTTATTGATAATGTGATTGTGTCAATGGTAATCCTATTCGATTTCAGATCACAACCTGATTACAATCTATATATAGATCAGATGCTATATTAGAAACATCGGTTAGTTTATGGTTATGCCAATGGATAGATTCTTTTCCTTATTGAGCTGATCTTGTGTCTTATTGATGGAATCGAACCCAAATCTTGTGATCACTGATCTTTTATAGAATGCTAATCACTGCATTATTGACCCATTGGTCCATGTTTTATTGTTATACTTGGATTACCGAATCATCATCATGAAATTGATAAGATCTTTGTATCACTTGTGGCTTATTTTAACTTTGGCCCTTATGTGGTATTGAACTCTGGACCTAGTGATTGTGACTTGGGAGCACTACTACTGTACTATGGATCCACGGATCTTTTTTTAAAAGTTACAGCATCCAGTATTCCCATGTTGTTCCCAACCATAGTACTAACTGGGCCATCAGTGGCTAACTCCTTTATTTTTATATTGAGGTTTTCATTATTAGGTATGTACTTCCAAGTTTTTGACTAGTATTATATCTGAAGATTAAGATATTTATCTTCAGTAAATTATTATTGTCTGAGGTATTGAACAAAATTGTTTTTTTGACTTATTCACTCTATAAGGATTGTATTTTATTGTTTTATTGTCTCATATTAGTTGTTGAACTTGAGTTAAAAATCTGATTAATATCTGAATATTGCTGCTGCTTATTTCTGGAGTTTTTTGGATAGGATTTTTTTCCTATTTTTTTTTTTTATTTTTCTTTATAAGTTTATCTTTTTCCATTTGTATTTTTTGTGAGACAATCTTTTATTACTTTTGGCTAGAATATTCTTATTGCATTTAGATCTGACCCAAGTATATTGCTATTGTTGTTTTCTTGAAGGACTTATTTTTCCATTTACTTTTCTTCTTTGTTTTCAAAATTGGCTAAAAAAAAAAATTTTTAAGAAAAAAAAATCTATAGGAAAGATTGATAGTTTAATTATATTATATATTATGTTATTCAATTAATAAATATTTTTTTGTTTTTTTAATTAATAAACTTTTAATCTAATTTAATTACAAATTATTTACAAAAAAAAAAAAGTTGTGTAATATTAATGGAAAATATATTTATTTAAATTAATTTTAATAAAAATTTTTTATATTTATATATTTAATACTAGTTATAGTTTAAATAAGACAAAAAATAAAAACAAAATAAAACAAAATAAAAATAAAAAAATAAAACAAAACAAAAAAATTTATTATTATTTTTTTCAATATATAAAAAATAAACTTATAAAAATTTATAATATATAAATAAATTCAAAAGGAGAAAAGAGAAAAAAAAAAGAATAAGAATAATAAAATTAATAAAACTACCAATTTTAATTCTATGTCCTTTCAACTTCCATTTTAGATTTGTATAAAAAAATAATTTTAAAATATCAGAAGATTTATTAATATGAATATAATTTATTAATATGAATATAATGGTTTGGCTGTTGTATAAATTTTATTAAAATTATTTGGTTTATTTTTATTAATAAAATTAAATAAAATAAAATGGGTTTAAAATTAAAAAATTAGACAATTGCTGAGTGGCCAAAAACTTTTTCTCTAGGGAACGTGTCTCGAATTTTGGTGATTTTGACCGGCACTAGAACCAATTTTCTTATCGAAATCAATCAATCCTGTCAAATTTAATTAATTCTGGCTGTGTTAATTCGGAATTAATTAATTTTAGCCGAAATTAATTAATTCTAGCCGGGTTCAATTAATTCTAATCGGATTGATGATTCTTAATTAGATCTTATAGTATATACCTTTAAATGCATGACCTCTTTAAATGAATAACCCTTTCTGAAGAAAGCACACTTAGTCGATTCCGAGGATGTGGTGTACTGCATTTACAAAAATGTAACTAAATAAACGAATACACACTAATTTAACTTAAATTGCATGGATAGAATCAAAAGGAAAATACGAATCTTGTATTATGGCACACAAATCCTAGTGCTACGCGCGATCAGCGGAATTATGATGTTATACTGTATGCGTATACTTTTCCTAAGCTTGATGTCCTACACTATAGTACGTATAACACATTAGTGGTATTTGAACAGTATTCTTTTGTTCTTTTAAATAATTTTCTCATAATGTGATGTGCTGCATTATATGTATAGCTTCGTGTTTTCATTAAGAATGTTTTCGAACAATGGTTCAATTTTTTAAGAATATTATGAAGGTATGTATTTATAATTTGAACGCATCACTTTTTTTTATCGTTGGTCTTTTAAAGAATTCGCTGCTTTCATGCCCTAATAATCGATAGTATTGTTCATTCTAGGCAAAACATAATTATTCGTGCTTTTTAATGTGCTTGTGCAAAATTTATTAACGATGCATATAATGGAAATTTAATATGAAATACTAATTTAGCTAAAATTATTAAAATTCGAGATAGCAAGACAGGATACATGCGCGTCTAATCGAACTTTAACTTGATGTAATCTTAATTAACAAAACTTATCCCTGTTTCAATCTTAATTATACTAGAATTTGGCATTAATTTTAATTTAATTATATTAGAGTTTGACCTTATCTTAATCGTTAAGAATTCTTATTCATTTTTTTAGGAATTAGATGTTATTATCCTTATTCTTGTCCTATTGAAAATTTCCAAAGAACTCTTCAAAAATATTGTCTCTGGAATACCACTCATATAAACCTCTCGCTAATTCCTCATCTATGACTCCTTGCTGATTAATATCTACAGGAGGAGGGAGAGGTTCCCGCGGGACATACGGAATGAATTTTTTATAAAAGATCTTTGGTAGCTCGCGTTCGCGATTCTTGATTTTTGTTCCGATTATTGATGATGCAACTTGTCTGTACTCTTCACGGACCTTCACATCCTCGTTACGCCATTTCCAACTTGCCATTTTTGACACGTTGGTCATATTCAGCTTATGATCAAGTCTAAGTCTCGAGACCTCCTTTGTAAATATGCGTCGATACACGAAGAACCCATTAGGAGTTTTCGTGCCGATCTTCTCTTCTGAACGATTGACAAACTCATCAAATTCTATTTCACATGCTTTTGGCATCAAAATACAAATGGGACAGGGGTCAATTTCCGAGTAATTATTTTTACTAGAGTTCATTTTGAATTCTTGTTTAGGTTGTGAGGTAATGTGCACGCAACTAAAAGAAGTATGAACAAGGAAATTATATTCCATGATTTTATCGAGCACATTTGAGGGGCTTTATATAATAATTCGGTTATTGATTTCGCGGAAATAAAAATATATCATAATCTTTCATCCTTGAAAGCCCAAGAAAGCAAAAAATAAAAGGGGGAACCAACAGAATCAAAGATATAGTCGGCTGGGTTTTCGGAATTGAATATGATTATTGTTTCTCTAATGTGCGTTTGCATCACTGGATATTTGGTTTCCGTTGTCCTAAATAAAGATAAAATAAAAGATAAAATATATTTTATACTCTGAAGAACTTACTTCTGTCAATAAATGATTGGTTCAGTTAAATAAAAGTAATTCGAAGTTGTGTAACGAGAGTTATTTGATGTACAGATCGCCTCAATATATGTAAGTGGTAATGAAACAAAGCAAATTGTAAAAAAAAAAAAAAAAAAAATAGAAAATTTCTAAATTTTGCGTAATAAATTATTTTCACTCTAATAAGGGCCGAATCCCGCGCCATTATTGCATTATAATTATACACAATAACCGTTGATTTCAATGTAATCATATTACTGATAACCGATTTTTTTTTTGGCTGGCGGTTATTGTATTTACTGTATATAATATTTTTAAATAAAATAGATACAGTATGTCAAATTACTTGAAATTTATCTTCGTTCATCAAAGTCCGGGAGTACTATCAATAGAATTTAATAATTAAAAATTATTTTATTTTTGATCTTAAGCATGTGTAACCTGTGTTGTGTGTTGATTCATCAAATATACATGGTGCCGTTCCCATTAATGAAAAAGAAAGATTATGCGCAATGTTTATTAATCTGTTATCATTATCGCAGCAACTTTTTTTTTTACTTCTTCCGGAAAGAAGGGACGCGTGCACTTTAGAATAATCGCGTACTGCTTGATGACATACTTTATTGCTTGTAACCATTTTTTTTAATCGAATATCCTAAGATGAACCAAACTTGTGGAGACGTAAGTGTAGCATGTTTGAAGTGAAGTGACACCAGTGGTGGAAATGCGTATTATATTTGCAAACTATACTACGTACTATCCTACACGTTTATCGCCTAGTGCACCAGTGACAAATTCTTATTGCATTTTAAAATATTTTTATTAATTGTTGCTACAATGCAATCTTTTCCGTTTATCTACGTATCTTGCACAAAGGTAGATCATCTTTCAGTCCTCAATAACGAAAAAAGAACAATGCATATGTACATACGTACCCCCTTTTTTCTATTAAAATCATTCGTCATTCCCGATCGACGCCTAATTTACTATTTGGGCTTACGATGCACAGAAAAGCGGATTTTCTTACAAAAAAAAAATAATCAAAAAAGAATGGCTAGGAATCACGATCGTTTTGTGAAACGTTTGATCGAGCTGCTTTGTCGCCTCTAAAATACCTACAATAGTTGCGGTAATGGTTTTATTGTTCAATATATGAAAAAAAAATGTGACGTTTTGGTTATGCTATACAAATAAACTCATCAAAATACTTATGTATCTTATAATTAACATAAACATATTTTTTGATTTATTTTAAACCGACAAAGTAATATTTCGCAGCGCGTCATTTAAAAGTAGAAATCGCAATATTAATTTTATCAACAACAAAATATTGTAATTTAAGCCATTTAAACATATTCTTGGAGCTATTTAATAAGAACATTTGCGGGTGAACTGGAAAGTAATGGTGGCCGTATAATTATTTTTATAATAATAATAATTATTATTATTTTTGAATATATTTAACTTTTAAAACTAGTATTGAACTTATAAAGTATTTCATAATATTTTTATTGATATTTTTTATGACGTATTTTTAATTTGAATATTTGCAAATCTTAAAATTTAAATAATTGAATTATGTAAACCATTAAAATTTTCTAAAAACAGCAACAACAAAAAACTATTAAATTCTATTACTTTATTTATCTTAATTATTAATTAATGTTCATTTTAAAAAAAATTATTTGTATATCAAGTAAATTGGCTTATCTTGTTTTTTTTTCTTTTTTGTTCAATTTAAAACAAATTGATTTTTTGATTTTTAAAATCAAAAAAATGGTTTGAGCCTATCTTTAAAAAAATTTAATATGCGCAGCAATTCAAAAATGTATTATGTAAGCATGTAAAACTAACAAATACTTTTATTAATATGTAATATTTAATTTTTAATATTTAATTTTTAGTATATTATTAATTTATAATCTTGTACGAAATAAAAATAAAAAAAGAAAAGAATGTTTTAAAATTTTATTAACATCCTATCTATTTTATTAATGATTAACATGTCTTTTAAAGATAAAGATATAGAACAATAAAACTTTATATTTCTTATCCATAATCATGGATATAAATATATAATACTTTATAAGTTTATTTATTTTAATTTTTTGAAAATATTTTTTTAAAAAAAAAAATATATATATTTTTATTTAGGTTAAATAAATGCATAAATTGTGAAAAATTAACAATCTCTTTAAAATACCTTATTAATTTATTAAATTTATATCACTGATTTATAAAAAATTTTTATCATCACTTTTTAATTAAAGTGTATAATAAAATTCTTCAATATATTATTATTAAAAAGATATTGTATTTAAATATAAAATCTCAATTAAGATTTTAATAATATAATAATATTATAACAAATACTTATTATTTTCATACAAAAAAAAAGTTTTTTTTTTTTTTTTCCATACTTTTAAATAGTTTAAATACTGTTATATTAAATTATAGTATATTTTACAGTGATAAACTTTATGAAAGATTTCCGAAAATAATGTTGGTATTAAGGAAAAGCATATATAAATTGTGTGTTATTTTTGGTTAAATTAAACTAGACAACGTATTACGGCTCCGCTGTAGGCCCGTAGCGGAGAAAGCTCTTTATTTTAGCTTGCATTTTAATATAGAATATAATATTATTGAATCTTATGGTTCGTATCATACGGCTATTGTTCCTAAGGATGATACGTTCCGCTTGCATGGTTATTAACTCAAAAATCGTCAGAGATAATCTCATACAAGAAATACAGAATACGTATATTTTTAGAATTGAACATCAACATCCCTACGTGTAACACAGATATGAAACATTCATTATTGTGTCACACAAACTTACACAATCAATAACATATAACATGGTCATTATGCATTAGCATTACGTTGGTCTCATCACCGATATGTCCTACTTCTAAAATCTTAGGAAAATGACTAAATCATGCAGATTTCGTCATTCGTCGATCGTGAGCACGTGAAATAATAATAATGTACTACAGTATATGCTGTATGAAATAACTTTTGTCCAAAACGCCTTTTACGACATTAGACTTGATGACTATGATTGACTTTCCCCATTGTGCATGTTCGATGGAAATAAATTTCCGAAGTTGTTAAAGCAACATTTTTTTTTTGGGGGGGGGGAATAATTTTCCCACATGGCTCAAAACGACTTATGCCCTCGCACTTCAATAAGTACAATTTAAAAAATTCTTATACGTATGTGCTTAAATTTAGCTTTTGTCTGTGCGGTACATTCGACTGTAAAAGTAATTGCATTTTACGCTGCGAAAATTACACATTAATTACATAACTACTTACACAATCACTTACAGTCCATTGATGTTAAATCAGAAAATCTTTGGATGTGCATATGACATTATGAACCAATTGACGCCTCAGTTATAAGTAATAACACTACCTTATGCGCCGCTTGAACTCCGAATTGAAGGAATAATCACAGGATTTTTGAAATTTATTCTGTCCATCAAAGTCAAATCTATTATTCGAAAGATTTTTTGATTATCCGTTTGGGATATTTTTTTCAACCCCCCTCCCAATTATAGCCGTCAGTACCTTAGTATTCACTTACTACGTGATCCTTAATTGAGTTGAATTGGTGTTACTTTATTTTCGAAAATAACCTCATTTTCAGTTTAAATAATGGAACAAATTGACTTTATAAAAGGTAGGTGTAATACAGTATATGGTCGAGGTGTCACCGATGAAAAAAAGAATGGTTATGTTCACGTGATACATTAAATATACGTATTTAATAGAAAAAAAAAATTGTGGGGCACTGAAGAACAGTATGCATAATGCTTTACGCAATTTTTTTATATTGTAAGATTTGTTCTGTAAACAATAGCCATTGTGGTAATATTTGAGTAGTGAAAAGATTTTTTTTTCTTGGCACAACAATTATATGCTGTACGTATTTTGAAGATCTTTAATAAATAAATGACAATGCAAACGTATTTGGTTAATAGGTAAACGATAGTCGAATATTCCGAGACTATTCAAATCGGTGCCTTTCTTCCGAGATGAAACATTCCAGTATAATACCGCATACGTAATTATCAATTAAACAAATGCAATTTAGTACACTTATAAGGTTCGGATTCAATCACTGTTAATAATTAGGTAAATACTGTATAAACAACATAGTAACAGGTAGCACTAGAGTTCGTTTGCATATTATATATATATATGTATAATTTCTTTAAAACAAACTGACCGAGTTTGTAGAGTACTTTGTTTATACCGTAAGAATGATGTGGGTGTGACCAATCAGTTTAGACTAAAGAATACTGCAAGGGATCAAAACAAAATGATCATTCTGAAAGAGCTACCAAGTGTTTTCCGGAATCTTAATTTTAAATAATATCCCATTTTATTGTTTTCTCGTCGCACACAATCCACCAATTTCAACTCCAAAATTTTGAAGATGATTGTTTACTATGCGCGGCAATCCGAAGATTGGTTCATCTATGGCAAACAGTACTAAATGACTCGTTCTCAATGATGCTATAAACATTAAACAAAGTATGGTTATTTAATTGGTCTATAAGCCAATATGCAGTGACTAC